GAGAGGCAAATAATATATACACTGTTCAAAAAAAGAAAGTGGTTATCCAAATATTATAGCTACAAGAGTTATCCAACCCATTTCGACAAATGAGTCCATACTTTCAAAACTTTGGGACAGGTATCAGAATCAGAATACTTAATTCTTGAACATAGAGTACAGAATAGGCGTCAAACAATACAGAGATATAATTACAAAACAGCATAAAGTTGTTAGGCTTTGAGGCGCTGTCGGTAGTGATGGTTATTACTATGAGGGTTGTTTAGTCCTCACTGGATCATCGGTGATGTTCTCCAGTTCATGACCTCCTCAACTGTGTAGAATGGTCTCTCCACAAGCTAAGCCGATAAGCGTTGTCTGGTGCTGTTTATGCTGGGGCCTTTTATTCTGGTTCAGGAACTTCACTCCCATGTAGGAAGGCCTTTCTTAAATAAGAGTTAGATGATGGACTGGAAGTGTGCAATTCATAGCCTGTCGGGTGTTATAGCTGTGCCTATCCATACCTCGTTGGAGCTGTAGCCTGCTTGCGTGAGTAGCCACAGCTAGGATGTACAGGCTTGTAATCGTTAGAATTTTTAGCTCACGGAATTTTGGTCTGTGACTTTCTCTTTTGTCCATGTCTGCTAATATTCTTACTGCTTTTCTGGTGGATAAGCACACGCTGGAAGTTGGTTACCGATGAGTTTCCCCATACTTCAAGGCCATATCGAAGATGTGATTCAAACAGTGTGTGGTAGGCAATCTTGGCTATGTTGGTGTCACTTATGGTTTTTATCCTTCTTATCACGTAGATACTGCTACTCAGCTTACTACACAGGCTGTCAATATGGGGGGTCCATGTCAGTTTCTGGTCTATTATTAAACCTAAATACTTTGCTTCTTCTAGGCCTTCGATGTCTGGGATCCTGCATACCCCACCATTTTTCCTGCCAAAGACCAGTTGTTGTGTTTTCTCCTCATTAACTACTAAGCTGTTGTTTTGGCAATATTGTATTGACATGTTTATGGAAACAAACAAGCTGATTTCAAGGGCTTCAGGGTTTTTCCCCCCAAGGAGGAGTACGGTATCACCCGCATACATAAGAGTCTTGCTGTAGTCTACCAAATAGTGAGGGAGATCATTTGTAAAATTATAAAGAGAAACTCCACTGAACGTGAGAAGGTTCTGATGCTGGGCATATACTTAAAATATGTTAACCAACTTTCAATGGTGTTGCTGCTTTAGCCTATTCAAAGCAGATTATGGCTGTCCAGTTGGTAACCCAGAGTTTGTGGGTAAAAAATGGAGCACATGAAATGGTTGATATCACCCCACTTTTCAGGATTCTCTTCTGAGAAAATTTGTTGGTTTAGGGGGATGTCTCAAATCAAAGAATTTAAAATTACCCAACTTAAAAACATTTTTCCTCAACGTTATGTATGAGCTGCACGAGGTCTCTAGTTACTAACTATTACTAACACACATGTTTTACTTGTTCTATAAGACTCTAAACCAGTTAACAATAATAAAAATAAAGATAATAAAAATAAAAAAACATTGAGGATGTAACAGCCAGACATGATTATGTACTTTTTTTTTATACTTTCTTATGAAATGGCGACCATACTATGTAGGTATTTTAAGCCAAGTATGAATGGAGATGAGTGTAGGATGAGTGTAGGTACACTTTAAGAAAGATGTTAACAATGGCTGTAAATAGATCATCAGCTGTTGCACTGCTTATTGTTACTGGACATTTTGAATATACGGAAAGTAAATAAAAGAAATGTCTTATAACACTTAAAACATAAATTTACGCTTATACTGTTACTCACAAGACGGTAAATAGGCCTATACAAAAAAGATGGTAAGTGGTGATCGATTTCGATGGACACTCAAATCATCATCAGACCCAATAGGCGAATGTTATTTAACAAAATATATGTTTTAAGTGTTATAAGACGTTTCTTTTATTCTTCCGTAAATTTAATAACACGTACAATGCTGATCGAGAAGTTATTTTGAATATGGTGGACAACATACAGAATTTGTTATTGTGATCTAAGACCAATACCTTTTAATGAATTGAAATAGAACCCTTAGGCTAATACTTTAGTAATTGGATGCAAATTATGAAACTGGAACCTTTTATCGTAACAATGCACCAGAGAGTGTACAGAAATTGCCAAGAATATTTTGTTAATCCTACGATACCACAAAATAATTTACTTATTTATAGACTTTCTCATCTGTTATTTTTGCTACATTATTTTAATAACTGTGGGAAAAATTCAATGTGTAATTTGTTCAAAAAATATCTTTGCGGAAGAGAATATTTTTCCATTACACGTTAATCTCAGTAAAAGTATCATGCTGCAGATCAAGAGTATTTTTACACATTAGTTACAAAGAATTTAACTTCAGGAGAGCATAGCCTTAGCCTATATTTTATAGGCCTACTATATTGCACTAGCAAAGCTTACCGAAATTAAATATCAAATAATCTTTCAAAACAAAGAATTAAGTATCAAGTTAAGTTGAATGTGAGAGGGGAGGTATTGAAAGTGGGAAGAGAAGACAGACAATATCTCTGATTGACCTATGACCCATTCAGTCAAGTTCGCCTTGGGGGAATGGGTGAGATTAATACATCAGAGTCTGTTTGTTTGGAAGATTTCTTTTTGAGCTGAAAAAGAGCTAACTTAAAAAATCTTGTTAACTACTTTGATTTTTTTAATAAAAAATATAATTAGGTAATTTTTCTTGTTTTCAGACCAACAAAAACATTTTTGACATCCCTGGGAAATTATTTTACAGTACTGAGTGGTCACCGATGCAAGTGTATGGGTCATAAAGTAATCAATCTTTAGAGTTAGATAATTTCTCCATTTGTTAGAACTAGTTGTTCAATCTAAGAGGACACAAAAGGGTGTATGTGGCTTCTTAAATTTACCATAAAAATAGTAACACACCTGCCGAGTGGGTAGAAACTAAAATTACCTAGTTATAACAAATAAACTTGAGTTTAATTTAATCAGCAGTTTTTTTTTATATAAAAATGTTTTCATTACAATTGTAGCCAGAGAGTCTTTATTAGTTATAATCCCCCATCCCATTGTTAAATGAAATGTTATAAAGCATGTTTTAAGTTTGTTTTTAAACCTTATCTTACACTTCCTGTCCAAGAATTTCCCATCACCTATTTTGATTGCACAAAACTACTCCCTTCTCTTCTCTTGTCTTTACATATCTCTCTTTCTTCATTGGTTGCTAATTAATATCTTTGTCTTATTTATACATTTATCAATTTAATCCATCAAACTTTCTTTAATCAAAAATTTGAAGAAAAAACAATACTCCAGACAAAATAGCAAGTGATTAGAGAAAGGTTTTGACATAAAAAGTCCCAGAGGATATGTGATTGTTGCAGGAAATTTAAAACATAGAAAACACATTCTATCATCTTCATCATCACATTTTTACAAAAACTCTGTCAGAGTTAGGTAACTATTGCATAGCTAACAAAAGACAAATTGTTTTATTTTATATAAGCTGAGTACCTGTCCTTTGTACGGGGTTGGCATATAAATATTTAAAATGCTTATTGCAGTTGTACTCAAGCTTTGCTTTTTGAAATGGGGGAGGACACAGTTTGATAAAATTAGCTTCTTTAAGTCCCAGAGGATATGTGATTGTTGCAGGAAATTTAAAACATAGAAAACACATTCTATCATCTTCATCATCACATTTTTACAAAAACTCTGTCAGAGTTAGGTAACTATTGCATAGCTAACAAAAGACAAATTGTTTTATTTTATATAAGCTGAGTACCTGTCCTTTGTACGGGGTTGGCATATAAATATTTAAAATGCTTATTGCAGTTGTACTCAAGCTTTGCTTTTTGAAATGGGGGAGGACACAGTTTGATAAAATTAGCTTCTTATCTAGGCTATTAAAAACTAAATATATGAATGTGGCAAGAACCGAAGGAGTAGCCAGGAAAGAGAATTTTAAAGTGGATGATTTGGAGTTTGAGCATGTGGATGAGTTTAAATACCTCGGCATAACAATAACACATGATAACAAAGAGGAAAAAGAAATCCAAAATAGATTAATTGTAGCCTCAGCAACCTACTGGTCCCTAGTCAATATGCTTAAGTCAAAAACTCTGTCCAAAAATACCAAAATTAAAATCTATCACTCCATCATTCTTCCAGTACTACTATATGGATCAGAAACATGGGCACTAACAAAAGAATGGGAAAAGAAACTTATTATTTTTGAAAACAAGATTCTGAGAAAAATATACGGACCAATTCAAGATGTAGCAGGCTGGAGAATTAGGAAGAATAGAGAATTGAGAGATGTGTATCACCATCCAGATGTAGTAGCAAGGATAAAAAGCAGGAGACTGAGATGGGCTGGACATGTGTGGAGGAGAGAGAACTCATCATTGATCAAAGCTGTGGACCAGAACAAACCAGAAGGCAGAAGACCACTCGGCAGGCCGAGACTGCGATGGAGGAGTCAGGTGCTGAAGGACGTGGCTGTATTGGGCACTACCCCTGAGGCAGCGGTGGATAGAGAAGAGTGGAGAAGCATCGTTGGCGAGGCCAAAAACCTTCTGAGGTTTCAATGGCCAAGGAGGTAAGGGTAAGGTAAGGTAATCTAGGCTATTATATTACACATCTGCCATAGCCATAATGTTCTACCATTTCACCTAAACAATAGAGAAAAATAAATAATTAAAAATTTGCAAAATATCACAAACTATTCATGAAATTAAAAACATAAACATAACTGTTAACAATCCAACTTTGACAGTTCTCATTGTGTGATGAGTTTTTTTGTTGTTGCTTATTTCAAATTAGCTGTTTTTATTTAAATGAAGGGCAAACGGAAAGTAGTAACTATGTGTCCATTTTGGGAAATTTTACAGTAGAGCGTTTTTAAGGTTTGACTCAGAAAACCAGCGTGCATTGTGGACGTACCCTATGTATCAAGCTTTAAATTAACATACCTTATAAACTTGTCCATAGGTCCCATTGCCGACTACTTCAATGAGTTCAAATATGCCAGCCGGATCCTGTAAACAATAGGTTAATGGTCAATAAATACAAGTTAGTCAGGTTAAATTATAGGTCTAAATGTGTGACTTGAGTGTCTATTGTTTGTTTGTTTGAGTGTGTCTGTTTTAGGGCCTAGATAGATCTAAGATAAAAGGGATTTATTTTAATAGCCTCATTTTATTGCAATGCCAACAGGAAGGTTCTAATTTTCAATTAGGCCTAAATAAATAAATGAATGAACAAGTTTAGGGTAACTTAGTACAAGAAGATGCAGAACTTTAAAATAACTCCACTGGGAAACATATTCTTACGATCGAACATTCTATACAATCAATCCAAGCGATTAGGCCTTGGCCTACACAAAAAAATAACACCTGTGAGAGTAATTTGGGTAGGCCTACTTTGGTATAATGCAGAGGCCACCCTTATAGCTACAGTGTGCTGCGGTGGTTATGTTAGGTTGGGTTATCACAAATAGATAGTACGACTCATATGGAATCATTCGATTAAAAGAAATAATGATATGATGACATTTCTAGAAACATACTTATTTATGATGACTGAATCTAACATAACCGCCGCAGCGCGATGCAGGTATAATATGTGGCCTCCGTATAATACCAAAGTACCATAATTTGTTTTAGAATTAAATTAAATTGCTAACAATCAAATCCTAAACCAATATCATAAAGATTAATTAATGTGGAAAAACAATTATCGGTACAGCCAAACAATCGATTTTGCCAACGTGTTGTTGTCTCTATCAAAATTACTGTAACTGCCAAAATAAACCAGCGTAGGCCTAACTGCTTAAATTAGGCTACTTACTAGAAACTACCTTAAACATTAAACAAACCATCAACGTTTTCACTTAAAACCCCCAGACCAACAATAGGCCTCATTTCCACATAGACCTAACTTATTTGAAATAGCATAACATTAGATTTTATTTTTATCGAGTGCAGTCTCGATTTGCAATAGGGTTGTTTCCTGCGTGGAACTAACTTAGTGTGGTGTGGTATGCCTGGTTTTTTTTTAAGACCATCTCATTAGGCCTAATTAAAAAAGACCCGGGTGAGTTAGACTTTCATAAGCAGGACTCCAAAATAGCGAATGAAAATGTATAAAATATTGAATTTTTGGGTAGGCCTATCGATTATTTCATTTGATAGTTAAAACAAGTTTGGTTAGTTAGGTTTACTTAACCTAACTAACCGAATGAAATAATTGATACGGTAGGGCATACATCAAATAATACCGGTATCGATAGTATTAAATTCTATATAGCCTATATTACGATATTTTACGATATAGTTTATTAGAGTCCTGCTTATGAAAATCTACCCAAAGACCCCTCACAGCTTTTTTAAGAGTTACAGTCACACAGAAATGTTAAAATAAAGATTTTATGTTATGGGTCATTCCATATGAAATCAACAAATAACAACGCAAAGGAAAGGCGTCCGGTAACCGAACGTGGATTAGGCGTCTGGCAGTGACTTCACCAGGTTATGGGGGGCCCTGAAACACCATTAACACAACAATATGGTGGAACGCGGCGGAACGCCGTCGGTGTTTGTGGTGTAGTGGATAGAGTACTTGGCTGATGTTCAAGAGGTACTTAGATCGAAGCCCATCGGTGTCACTAACTTTTTATCAAAGATTTTGCTTAGAATGCCATTTTTTCATAACAGGTATAGGTTTATCTTTTGTTTAGAGTTTGAGGCATTTCTAATTTTATTTTATGAACAGAATTTAAACTTCATTCAGTTTTTTCATTATCAGCAGGTTTGGTTAGTTAGGTTAAAGGTTATGACAGTAACTGCCAGACGCCTCATCCGCGTACGGTTGTATCCTCTGCCAATAAAAAATTCTGTTCAACCTTGGACCATCTTGGATTTTAATGAAATTTTGAATGAAAAATACTTAGGTAGGTACCTACTACTAGAATGGCCAGGTTGAGAGCCTAAGAAGTTAGTTGATTTGACATGGAAAACTCCTTCCAAAATCCCCAAAACCAAAATAAATTTGCCTTTTTTACGGACAAACAACCATAAAGTTACATAAATATATGGCACAACACATAGGCCTATAGGCTACAGTCTAACTTAATGGATTGAAATAGAGAAGTAGCAAACACACCACAGTAACACTACCTTGTTTACTTCCGGCACAACGTCTGCGATAAGTTAAAATCGATTTAATAAAAGGCCAATACCAAAGATTGTGTTGTGTTTCTTTAAGCACCACTCTGTGGAATTTACGATGCCAACATGGGTCGCCGGAATTTTATCCCCCTGGGCAAAGCTGACATCACTATGACGTAGTAAGCTGAGTGGCCAAAAGTTTGTTCGCAGCCGAAATTTTACCCCCGCGGATTTGGAAGTCTAATGAAAATAGCCAGAGAGTGATTAATTAGATTAGCAATAAAAACCGGAATTTTACCCCCTGTCCATATAACTAGCGTTTAGACTACTGAACATGTACGGTACGGGACGGATTTTTACCCCCTGGAATTTTACCCCCCGATTTATACCCCCGGATTTTTACCCCCCAGAATTTTACCCCCTGGCCAGTTTTAGAAATTGAATGATTGATTTTCTTATTTCTGTTTTTAATTAATTGTTTTTTCATTATTACTCACCTATCTTTATTTATTTTTTTTGTAATCTCAACTAAGTAAACAGAATTTGCTGATTAATTTTGATGTTCGGGATTTGCGTTTGGGGCCAACTGTTGATTAATAAGTAGGGTACCTATGTAAAATAAACTGAGTAGCTCATTTAAATGATAATTGGGTGAACATTTATTCGTAAAGAAACAATAAGGCATATTTTGTTATTGTTACAATACAAATGAAAAACATTGTTTTACCACGGTTGTATAATAAATCGTTAAAGAAATCTTCGAATTAATTACCATTATGATGTTTGTTTATATACGTCATATTAATCAACAATTGGCTTCAAAGATCAAATCCTGATACTCGAATCTCAAAATTAAAAAAAAACCTGTTCCATTAGTTGATGTTACAAATAAATTAAGATAGGCTACTTAATAATAAAATGTTTACTATTAAATTAAAAGAGAATGGAGATAATTAATCATTCTCACTAATTTATGTCTGGCCAGGGGGTAAAATTCCGGGGGTAAAAATCTAGCTGTATACTTTACTTCGGTTTTTATAATTTGATGTGTTCTAATTAAATTCACAACTGTGAAAATATATGTTTAACTTAATTCCCCCTCCCCCAATTAATTCCGCTTAGTTCTGCTTCTGCCCCATACCACGTCTGATGCGCTCCGGGAACAAGATCTGTTCGTCGGTCGACCTTTTCGCTTCCAGTTTGGAGGCTGTTAGGCGAGTGGCAGCAGAGGAACGTGACGCTCTATTAACATTTCACTGTTGGTGCTGTTTTTGATCTTGTTGTATCTCAAATCATTAGGCCTATTATTGTTGTTCATTTAATGCTTTATTATTGATATTCATTTCATTATTTATTATTGTTACTAGGCCTAGTTTAATTTCTACTACTATTGTTCTTTTCATTGTTTATCGTTGTTAATGCCTAGCACAAAACACAAACATTCACTGTTGTAGCTTTTAATCTTTAAATCTTTGTAAATTCGTGTATTGCCGTTGGTAAATAAATAAATAAATAAATAATTCCGCTTTTAATCCATCGAGCTGATGTCGCGAAACTCAAAAGTTCGCGGCCAGAATTTTACCCCCTGGTTTGTGACGTCACGTTTGCCCAGGGGGTAAAATTCCAGGGGGATAAAAATCCGCTACCCCGCCAACATCATAAGTTAGGTAGCCATTTTAACAACTTGGACAACTTTGTTATTAACTAGACCTAGGCTTAGGATACTCAGATCAATTGTACGGTAAGTTAAATGTCTTATGTCTTACTCTAGGCTAACAAAGTTTAACTTCAAAGGCCTCTTGCCCTTATAGGCTGTGGCCTATGGAGCCCCATCCGAGATTAAAAATCGAGTAAAATAGGCCTACATATTGCCCTATGGAAGTAAACTTAAGGGTCTATAAATGTAGTCAACGTGTGTCAAGATAAATAGGCCTAACTGAAAGTCTATGTTGAGATGTCTCAATAACTAATGTTTCTAAATAGGCTACCGTACTTAAAACCATCTTAGGCTAATCAAACGTTAAATAAATTACGTGTAACTAAGTACATACACAATGAACAAGCACAAAATTCGGGCTAGTCAATCACAATTATTATTAATTGATAGGGCCTGTTGTTAGTCATTTGGTAAGTTAATAAGATTGGACACAACTCCTATAGCCGACTTGTTGGGTGTTAGTTATATTCATCCTATGTTTATTCGAACGTCGAACAAATGTTAATTTCTAAACATAGCCTAAATAAGTATTTCCATTCAATGTATAAGTATTTACCTTCAATGCATTCAAGTCAATGTCATCTAAGGAACAATTCACGCTAGGGGCCAAGTTGTTATGCGCCATCTTGAGCACAACGAGTGAGAGTTAAGTTAACCCGACAAAAACACTGTTAATTAAAACTAAATTTCAACTTAAAAGCCAAGGACTGGTCTCCTCCCTTGGCTTTTACGCTACCTTGATGCACTACACATATTTAGTAATCATAATAACTTTTTAACACTTGTCACTTTGTTGTACATTCTTTGTCCACACCTACTTATCAACGCCAGGGAGTGACGTCATCTTTCCGACACAACATTACTTCAGAAGACCAACCCAACGAGCTAAATACGAACAAAAAGTAATACTTGTGACGTGCACTATAACAGACTAACAGTCTATCAAAACCTTTTAGATTTTTTGATCCATTGTGGCATTATATGTTTTGTAAAACTTCTGGACTGTGGTATTTATGAGAATAATTTAAAATGTTTACAGGTAAAGTCATTCGAATTATATTAGGAAATAAACATTGTTTCGTATTTTAGAGGTTAGCTAGTGAGTTAAAAATGCAAATTGACTGTAAAGTCTTGTATCAAATGAAAATATTTAGTAGTGTTCCCTTGAAAGATGCCGTTGTAAAGTAAACCAATGGGTCAAACCATAAAAAACCATATAGATAAAACATAATCCCTAAGTCTAGCCCAGATGACAGGGGAGCTGAGACAGAACAAGATTCTCTGAGGAACCTCCGGGGCCCAGGGTATACGCCAAAGATTTGTTTGAATTTGAAACAGGAGATAATGTCTTTAATGTCTTTAGGGCGGCCGCCTAGGACCGTACACATGGCAGCGGTTGGAGCCGCGGTTACGCTTCGGTTGCGGTGTGAATTGACCGTCGCTCGACAGCCAGTACTGTATTTACCCAATTATTTTTCTTTTAAACGCGTAACGCTTGACAATTCTTTTCAGCAAAAAACTCAACTAACTCTTGCCACGCAAAAAGGTGTATACAATTCAGCTGTAACAAACAGGGCCACAAGAAAGGGGGAATACAGTATACACCGTTAATACTGTATCACAAAGCCTGGGAGTGAGCTGGTCTAACCACTAGGTTATAGAGTGTGGGACTTCAGTCCCTGTGGTCCCGGGTTCAAATCCCGCCAAACCAACAATGGACTTTATCTAAGTGATAATGCCGCAACACCTAGGTCTAGCCTGAAGTAATGAGAAAAACAATCCCAGGCTTGTGTCTAGCGTCCTACCTAGGACAAAAATATCACAAAGCCAGAAAGAGTATAACTGAATACACATCTTCAACCTAATAAGCAGGAGGGGTAGCGGAACTCTACCCCCAGAAATTTACCCCCATGAAAAAATCAACGAAGTCATTTTGACTTCACGGGGGAGGGGCCTATACACGGTTGAGAAACAGCCTGCAGCTGGAAATTTACCCCCAATATATTATTATATACTCAACATGTAATTGTTTGCTTATAAAGTGATTTGCCATACCACGGAATTTTGCCACCGGAAATCTACCCCTATGGAGTAGGCTACGCTACATATCGGCCAAGATTCATTATTATAGTTTATGGTATTTTATTAATCGATTTTTGTAAATCAACGGCTCTTCGGTTATAGGCTATGTTAACAATTAATTAAACCAACTACTGTACAACACAATGAACCTTGTCCGATGCATGGTGGAAGTGGTCCGATGTAGCTTATAGCCGAACACGGAGGGTAGATTATTTTTGGGGGTAAGGCCGGAAATATACCCCCAGCCCTGTGATGTCAAAATGACGTAGGCGTTTTTCATGGGGGTAAATTTCCGTGGGTAGAATTCCGGCGACCCAGCAGCAGGTGAATCTCACTTGGGTTCTTTGTCATCGTCGCCAAGGGATATATGATATATATGAAACGATAAGCAGTACCAATTTTTAAAGCCATGGCTTTCTTCTCAATTCCGAGTTTACATACACAAATGCACTTTGTTTTACCTTCGTTCACTTTCAGTCCTATTTTTCGGTTCTTTACGCTACGTTAGATTAAGCTAGATAATGTTGTTTTAGAAATTACTCTCAACATCAGTTTGATGGGTCTAAAACTAATTTCTTTAAATATCTTTTGATCCGCGTGTCTAATAATATAATGATTTACCTAATAATAACTAAATAGTGACATTATAGAATCATAATTGTATTTTTCATAACAAAGAACCTATTTCGTCAGTGTATAAGTCAGAGAGACGTATCATAACATACACACTTTCACAGTACTGTTTGTTTTAAAATATTAGGATTTGAAAATATTATATTTCCAAATATATATGAAGTGAATCCTGTACGTAAATCCAAACCTGACCATAATATTGACTGTTTGTTGGGATACTCACTTACTCACTATTTTATCAATCAATTTTACTGAGTGTACACCGTATTAACAAATCCGGGTTAAGTAATCAATCATCTTATTCCTATACTTTATATCATTGAGTATCTTTGCGGGTTTGAGTGTAATACAGTCACAAATGGTGGCATAAGTCTCAACATTTCAACAAATCGTTCAATAAAAAATCGGAAACCATACAAATTTATATAAAAATTACTATGTAAACTCATACAGTACTTTCATTTACTTTTTACACTTTTTTTGGCTTATAAAATTAATCAAGAACATACTTCTAGCATTTTTTCTACACGACAAGAAAATGATCCTTTGTTTGAAGTTTCAAATTTGGTGATGGCGAGTCCACGTTGTCTAACTGAGTCTAAGTTGGGTTTGTGTACTACTGTACTCTTGTAATTTGTTAGTTTTACATACTTTAATTCTCGTCTGAGGACGAGATCGAATTCCAGATCCCGAAATGTCGTGGAAACTCTTTTTACCAATTGTGATGGAAATGTCCACAATAATATTTTGGATAAATGATTTGCTGAATAGTGAATACTCTAAATTCAATTAAAAAATGTAATAGCTCATTTTAGGATTCTCAGAGCCCAAGAAAAAATCACATCAAGTTTTATTTTAAAGAAAGTTGAGAATACCGATTTCGAGTCACAATTCAAATCGAACAACATTTGTATTGACACACGCATTCAACACTTCCTGGGAATAATTCCATCAACATCTGGTCAATTTCGGGATAAACACATGTAATATCGAAAACCGTTGGTCAGTCCCTTTCAGCAATAGAATCTGCTTCAAACGGACCTATTTTAAAGGGTATGAACAACGCAATGATATCTCATTCACACAGGATTAGGACTGCGCTACTTGTGTCCACCCACAGATGTCGTATTTTGGTTTCTTTTGTTGGCAACATTGGTGACCACTTCCCGTTCCCACCCGCCGGGTTATCCCTGGACATCTGCCATTTAAACATTTATCCATTGTAAACGTGTGAAATCGTCCACTTTCAAGCCAGCTGGCAGAAATCAATTTGTAATCGGAAGTACCAAAAATAAAATGTAACGAGGAAACGAAACTAGTTAGAAAACTTGATTGAATTTTACAAATAGTTTTGTGGTGAGTTCAATTATGTAAGTTATCTCAGGATTTTCTAAAAACCCTGTGCTAAAGAAATAAATACGCAAAGTTTATTTATTTGATCCCAACGACAATAGTCAATACATACAAGAAATTGTAACTAGGTGGCGTTCGCAGATGCATCCACAAAATTGAGCGGAGTCATCAAGGGTTCATATTATATTGTTTTTGTCGTATTGCAGTAAAAACAGTCGTCATTGGTGCATGCGTTAGGGAATAAAATTCGTTTTTAGCCTCTATAGAGTAAAACTCAGCTGTTGTCAATGTCAACTCAGTTGTAAATTTCTATTGTAAACGATTGAATACGTATCGAAATATGCAACTATTCGTGTTTCATAATCATTTTAACCAGTCTCTTCCCATAGCATTTTAGCATTGCAGATACATTAATCCATTCCCACACTCAACACTGCCCACCTTTACTACTTTCTTCACCACCCCCTACGTCTTGGACTTGTTTCCCTCTCTTCCCATGGCATTTTAGGATTGCAGATACATTAATGTAATTGCCAAAGACAGTTCCCACACTCTGCACTGCAAGCCTTACTACTTCCTTCACCATTTCCTACGTCATAGACCTGTTTCCTTCCCTTCTCATAGCATTTAAGTATTAGATACATTTATCTAACTGCCCAAACGGTTCCCTCACTCTGCACTGCCAGCCTTTACTACTTCCTTCACCACTTCCTACGTCGTGGGGCCTGTTTCCTTCGCTTCTCTTAGCATTTTAGGATTGAAGATACATTAATCTAACTGCCACAGACGGTTCTCACAATATGTCCATACTTTATTACTTCCTAAGCCACTTCCTACATCGTAGACCTGTTTTCGTCACTTTCCATAGCATTTTAGTATTAGATACGTTAATCTAATTGTCACAAACGTTGCCCACACTCCAAACTGCTAGCCTTTACTACTTCTTTCACCATTTTCTATGTCGTGGGCATGCTTCCATCCCTTCTCATAGCATTTCAGCATTGCAGATACATTAATCTAACTGCTACAAACGGTTTCCAGTTCCCAAACTCCACAATGCTCACCTTACTAATTCCTTCACCCCTTCTTACGTCGCAGACCTGTTTCCCTCTCTTCCCATAGAATTTTAAGATTGTAGATACCAAGATACCTTAATCTAATCGTCATAACCGGACCGGTTTTCCTCCCTTCCTATAACTTATAGGATTGTAGATAGGCCTACCTTAATCTAATCGGCATGAACAGTTTCCACACTCCGGACAGCTCGCATTGACTACTTCCTTCACCAATTCATACGTCACGGACCTGTTTCCCTCCCTTCCCATAGCATTATAGGATTGCAAATACCTTAATCTAATGGTCATAAACAGATTCCATACCCCGAACATCTCGTCTTTACTACTTCCTTCACCACTTCGTACATCGCGGACCTGTTTTCCTCCCTTTCCATAGCATTTTAGGATTGTAGATACCTTAATCTAATAGTCGTAAACAGTTTCCACACTCCGGACAGCTCGCCTTGACTATTTCCTTCACCACTTCCTACGTCGCGGACCTGTTTCCTCCCTTCCCATAGCATTTTAGGATTGCAAATACCTTAATCTAATGGTCATAAACAGATCCCATACCCCGAACATCTCGCCTTTACTACTTCCTTCACCACTCCCTACGTCGCGGACCTGTTTTCTTCCCTTCCAATAGCATTTTAGGATTGCATATACCTTAATCTAATCGTCATAAACAGTTTCCACACTCCGGACAGCTCA